CGGCACGGAGGGGCCTCGGAAGCCGACCGCCTCCCCTCCGCCACGCCTCTGCTCCTCCGCCAGGGACTCCTCCACTTCCGAGTTCGCCGAGGTGCCATCGCTGCAGTCGCTGACTGAGCCGCGAGCCAAGCGGCGAGCCACGGCGGAGAAGACGCTGGGCGAGCGGAGATCCTCCGCGGGGGACAGGACGTCGGATGGCGTCGAGGGAGGGAAGCGGAAGTGCGAGCCGCCCGAGGGCACTGGTGGAGCGCTCTGAGGCACTGCCCCGCCTATGGGCATGGGAAAAAAAGTTGTTAGGAAAATGGCGGCATTGGGAAAATCCCCAGCTCATCTAGTGCTACCATTTCTTCACAAGGTTACTATAGAGCATGGTGGTGCAACGTTTAAACTGCAGGACCGCAGTGAAGACTCTGCTCAGGACTCGCGTTCAACCGCGGGTTCAGTTAGCTGGTTCAAGGTTACCTTCCATCCTTCTGAGGTTGGCAAATTGAGCTCGCGTTCGACCGCGGGCTCAATTAGCTGGTTCAAGGTTACCTTCTGAGGTTGGCAAATTGAGTAACCAGCTGGCAGGGGTGGGCAGACATTGTATTGCCTGCATAATGGAACTGTAAACCACCCAGAGTGAGTTTTAAACACTATGGGGTCGTTTATAAGCAGCATACTTTGCCTTGACCAGCATATGCCTCTGAATACTAGCTGTTGACCGCGGGCTCAATTAGCTGGTTCAAGGTTACCTTCTGAGGTTGGCAAATTGAGTAACCAGCTGGCAGGGGTGGGCAGACATTGTATTGCCTGCATAATGGAACTGTAAACCACCCAGAGTGAGTTTTAAACACTATGGGGTCGTTTATAAGCAGCATACTTTGCCTTGACCAGCATATGCCTCTGAATACTAGCTGTTGTGAGCTTCTCATAGGCATGCGATTGACCTCTTTGGGAACAGAAAGCTGGACTAGATGCACCTGTGCACCGAACCACCTCAGTTCCTGATAGGCTCATAATTGCACACGTAACCAGTTGCATCGTACAGTCCCAAGAATTTTGAGAAGCAATGCTAGGGCAAACCAAAAGCCCATTTAGTTCAATACTCTGTACATATGATGGCTAACCAGCTGCCATCAGGACTGTAAGTCCTGTACTTGCTCTGACTTTTGTCCTCTAGGAACATATACAGAAGCGTACAGTGGTGCCTCGCATAGTTAAACATCGCTGAACGGGACAGAAAAGCCCATAGGAACGCATTAAACGATGTTTAAAACTCACCGTTCAGCGATGCTTCCTGGGTCCGGCAGCCATTTTCGCGCCCTTGTTAAGCGAGGGCAGGGCGCGAAAACGCTGCGCGCGGCCATTTTGGGGCTTCCGGCGGCCATTTTGGAGCTGCCGAACAGCTGATCATCGGGCTTCGTTTTGCAAAGATCGGTAAGCGAAACGCTTACCGATCTTCGCGAAGTGAGTTTTGCCCATAGGGGTCATCGGTATGCGATCGCATTTGCGATTGCCAAGACCCCATCACTATGCGATTTTGTCGTTATACGGTGCGCACGCTAAGCGAGGCACCACTGTACTTCCCTTCATAAGGATGATTCAAGGCTCTTTTAGATGAAACATGGGGTAATGAACATCACAAATGCCAAGCATATGCCCTTCTACAATTTTTCCCATATAAGGTGGATAAAAATCAACCATTTTTAAAAATCAAAATTGACCTTAAATCCCAAGTTAAATTTTTTAAAAGTTATTTTCTTGATTTAAATCATCAAAAATAGTTCCCACGTGACTGTTTCTTTACCCTTCCTCAAACACAATCCGCTTTCAATCACACTTCTACAACAGGCTGCCACATCCCTTCTCAGCTGTTGGCCCTCGCCACGTTTTAAAAACCACAACACCCAGAATTCCTGGATGCGTGCAACAATGGCCAGAGCTCTGGGGAGTTGAATTCCAATGACATCTAGAGATTCACAAGGTTGAAAGGCACTAAGCAATTTGATCCCAGGGGCGCTAATGAAGAGAAATCAATGCTCTAAGTGTCGCTATCACACTGCCCCCATAATGCATGAGGCGATGTGTGTAGGGCAACTGCTTGCATCTCAGCTGATGCTTCACTGCACCTCTAAATGTTCAAGATTATTCAGAGCAGAGTGAACACTGTCCAAAGCTAAGTAAAGGCAGGGGCCTTTTTTTTGCTACTCATTTTGAAAATCATAGAATAGCAGAGTTGGAAGGCACCTCTAAGGCCATCGGGTCCAACCCCTGGCTCAAGGCAAGAATCCCAGTCAAAGCACATCTGACAAAGGATGGTCCACTTTTCTCTTTAAAGACTCCATGCCGTCGCTCCACTTCCCGAGGTCATGGGTCTCATTGTACTGCTCTAACAGCGACCAGATTCCCCCCCCCGCCCGATATTCAGCCTAAATCTGGCTCCCTTTAGCTTCAGCCCATTGTTCTCTGTGTCCTTTTTTGAAGACTGCTATTGGGCCCCATTAGTGATGCTCGGGTGTGTTCCTTCTTTTGGACATTCATCTATCTTTACCTCTGAATCTGCTTTTCCAATTCCTCCCACTCACCTGCCATGCCCATGTCAATGAAAGGATAGTTGACCAGCACCAGCTTGTTAAAGTTGAACTTGTAAGTGAAACGTTTTCCTTTGGTCTTGTGCAGGATCCGCTTGTTGTAGTAGTACCTGAAGGAGGAGGAGGAGGAGGCAGAGAAGAGAAAGAACAAGGTCAGTGACTCACAAGCCCCATTGAACACCAACTACAGAGGCTCTTCAGGCTCTGAATAAACGTGGTGGGTGGCCTGTGGTTCTTGCACCGTTTTGAAAGGTCGACTTTTCCAGCCTGGTTGTTGAACAGCAACTATTCCTATTCGGAAGGGTCCAGTTATCGCTGCAAAAGTAGTACTGTATATATATCACCTGGCTTGTCAATAACCACCCTGTGGGAAAGAAACCCTTCCTTCAGGGGATGACAGAAATCAGCCAGAGATGATTTTCACCATCCTAAAAAGGAGTCTGCAGATAAACAGAGGAGACACCGTTTTTGTGGTCGCAGGCTAGTAACCTGCACTTACTAGGCTGCAGGCGCAAATTGCCCCGAGCCCTCAATTTCCTATCCTTTCCTCTTCTCCAGCAGTAAAAGGAGCCAACACGACTTCCTCCAGATATGTAGAACTCTCATAATGAAAAACTGGCTGCTGAACGGGTGGGAGCTACTGCATGAGAAATCCGTACAGTTAAGGAAGTCCGAGTTAGGAGAATATCAGTAATTCTGGCCTCTGATGGAAGTCAGACCTTGTGGTCTCAAACTTTGTGCAAGGCACTAGGATGGCAATCACGGTCACCCTGAGGGTCAGGTCGCTTTATGTCCAGCTAGTCAAGTAGGGTCTCGACGGGTGGGGCAGGAGTTTTCTAGCAGATATAATTCCTTCCCATTATCTGCTACATGATGGAGAAGCCAGGGACTGACTCTGAGCGTGTTATAACCTTACAACCACCGAGCTGGGAAGAATCCTATAGACTAGAGCACAGAATCCAGCCCCTGTCAAGAAGGTACAGGGGCAACAGAACTCAACCACCTCTAGCTCCACAGCCAGATACCTAAAATCACCGAGCTTTCTGTATCACAACTTTCAGAAGTTCTGCCTGGGGAATGTTGGGTACCGCAGTCCAAACGTCACAAATCTGCACACCTCTAGCTGGAGGCCTTCAGCCTGAAAAGCATGTACTCTGTCATTCAGCCACAGTGCCTATCTTCCAGCAACTGTACTACAAATCCCATCATCTCTTCCTTTGGGAAGCCACATGTTCTGTCGTATGTTATAACCCAACTAAGCTGGCTGGAGAACTCTTTTATTATTAAGAGAGGGGAGGGGAGTGCTCCAGGAGGTGACAGAGTCTCCTTTGCTGACTAGGTAGAAGATGAATGGATATAGTTTAGCAAGGGGCTGGATTACATGTCCTCATAAAATCTCTTCCTGCTCCTGGGAAACTAGGATTATTTCAGATTGTTTTTCTCCAAGTGATCCTAATTGGCATGTGGGCTGCATCTAGTCTTTTAATGATTCTGTTTGCACAACAGTAGGGACTAAAGATGGTGCCTTATGCTTATTTGGGCCATTGAGCTAAGCATTACACAGCCTTCAGCAAACCATACTCTTAAACACCCCCCCATTTCTACGACATTTAAAAAAAGGTCTACCTTTCAAAGCTGTTGTGAGACAGTATCCCAAAAAAGCACGCCCACTCTAGGAGTTCTGAGCCTCTTTGGGAAACAAGTGGAACACAACAAAACATAATGATCAGGGACATGTGTGTGTGTGTGTGTTTGTGTGTGTGTGTTTACCACCTTCTCCTATTAAAAATCCCAGACTGTGCACCAAAAATAAATGATGCAATACAGTGGTGCCCCGTATAGCGATGATAATCCGTTCTGAAAAAATCGTCGCTATGTGGATTCGTCGCTATGCGGTGCAAAAAAGCCCGTAGGAATGCATTAAAACACGTTTAATGTGTTCCTATGGGCACAAAACTCACCGTTATGCAGAAATCCTCCATGTGGCCGCCATTTTCGCTGCCCGGTAAGCGAGGAAAGGGCGCAAAAACACAGCGGGCAGCCATTTTCTTTACCTGCCGGCCATTTTGGAACCGCTGATCAGCTGTTGGAAAAACATCGTTATGCAATAATCGGTAAGCGAAACAGCTTACCGATCATCGCAAAGCGATGTTTTCCCATTTAAAACATCATTATGCAATCGCTTTTGCAATCGCAAAAACTCAATCGCTATGCGGATTCATCGTTAAACAAATTGCTCATTAAGCGGGACACCACGGTAATTGTCTATAGCTGAACGTTTTCTACAATTTGTTTTGCTTTCAAAGTCTGAAAAACAGCACTGTTTGTGTTTACAGTTTCTTGAAGAGCAGGGCAAAACATTTAGCTAAATCTTGGCATAAGCAGGTCCAGAAAAAGCAGCTGGTGACAGTAACACAATTGACAGCAAACTGTTATCAAAGACTAAAATATATTTTTATACTGTTCTGTTTTATTTTGTAAGCCGCCCCGAGTAGACATGGTCTAGAGAGGCGGGGTAAAAATAAAATAAATAAATAAAATAAATAAATAAAACCCGACAGTCTCTCCACCCGGGCCCACCTCTGGGATGTCAACGGAGATGATCTGCACATTTCTAAAGCTTTAAGGACTTAACAACATGCAAAACATTTTTAAAAGCCATGGGATGCTGAACCCTACATCAGACATTAATCCTGCAGGGACACTCAACGACACCATGGTTACCGCAGGCCGGGGATGGGAACATAGAACATGGACTGAGGAGAAGACTTTTTCTAGATCCTGGTCTGTGTCGGCCCATCTCTCCCACGCACGCTTCTCCAGGCCTCACCTCAAGGCTCTGCTCAGCTTGTCGTAGTTCATTTGAGGCTTGCACTTCCTCACCCCCCAGAGGCGGGCCACCTCGTCCGGATCCTTGATGACAAACTCCCCGTAGTCTCCCTGCCAGGCGATGACATCATGGTATTCCTCTTTGCGCAGCAGTTCCAGGATAAAATGCCACAGCTGGATCTGACGCGAGCCGGGGCTTGACTCCGGCTTGTAGGCCCAGTCTGGGAAGGCGAACCCTGGCAACGAGAAGAGCCGAGTTAGCCCGTTCTGGATAAAAGGCAGAAGCACGGAGAGAGAAGGAGGAGGAAGAGGAGAAGAAAAAACTTTTCTTTTTTTTGGAAAAGGAAAAAAGACATACTTGGAACAAAGGCTTTGCTATTTCCCACACTGGCATCCACTTCCTGCATCCTATCAGTATGTGCTGGCAGAAAGGCTCAATGGCTACATCAAGGTCAGACTGGAACACCCAAGACCCCAAATGGTACCTCCATCCAGGACACAGAAACTGCCAGGCAGGGCATGTGGATTCCACCCCCCCCTTACTCCCCAACATGTATGAGGGGAGGGAAAACAGGAAACCGGCTGCTGCCGCCGTCGCCGCTGCCTCTCCCCTTGTGCAGCCAGGCGGCTGGGAGGCTGGCCAAGCCGCCTTGCGACTTCCAGGCGAGGTCTCGTCCAGATCTTCCTCCAAGCGTAGGTGGGGAGGGAGGGGAGGGAACAGCCTGCGTTTGCCTCTTGATCTCAAGCCTCCCTACCTGGAGGAACAGGGGAAAGAGCTGGCAGCGCCTCTGACGCCCTGGGACTCCGCTCCCAAGTTAACACAAGAGTCCGGGGGCCAGGAGACGCATACCTGGACATCCATCACATACACACACCCTCCAACGCTGGAGGAAGGGGACGCAGGAGAAGGGAGCACAGGGGGAGAAAATCTGGGGGGGGGAAGAAAGGAGTTCTGAGCTCCAACTCAAAAACTCTTGGAAAGAATCAGCCCCATTATGGCGGGGGGGAAGAAGCATCAACATGTTTGGAAGCATGCGCATGTGTGCGGAGGGTATGTGTGTGTGTGTGTCTTTGTGCCATGTTCTCACTAAACAGGCTTGGAGTGATGGTGGTGGGGGGATGGTTAGTGGCTGAGGTCAGCAGCTCCAGACAAGGGGCCCTTTTTTCCAGCCACGAGGCAGCGGCCTAGCCCGACTCCCAAGCATTCCTGGGGAGGGGGGAAAAGACGCAGAAGTCTGCCCGAAACACGGCTTCCCCTAGAAACCCCTACGGCAACTCATGCCAGTCTCCACCAGCAGCCCCCAAAGTCAAAACTCTCGAGGATGAACGGAGGTGCGGACGGAGGCGGTCGCTCTCCCTCGATACCACGCAAAAATGGGCTCCTTCGGCCAGGGACGAAAAGTCCCTCTTTACCCCTCTGCTCCGCGAAGGGCCCGTTTTCCCCCCTCTGCCTTGCCTTTAGAAGCAGGAAGTCGGAAAATAAGGACCACGGATGGTTTCCCAGCACGCTTTAGGGCATGGGATCCTCTCCTTCCGTCTGGCAAACGAAGTGGCCCTCTGAACCGAGCGAAGCCAAAATGTCTGGGATGCCGAAGTGACGAGAACGGGGTTCGGTACCCTTTCAAACTTGGTAATGGAACGGGACTCCTCTGTTCCTCCAAACACACCCCTCTCCCCTCAGACATACATCCCACCTTTTTGGCATAGAGATAAAATTCCCCTCTCCCACGGAGTCTTCACAACAGCCCTGTGAAGCAGGCCAGTAATTATAGCACGGGACAACCATAGCATCCCCGAGAAAGTCAAGAGAGGGCTAATTTAGGAGGACCTTTCTCAGCACCATTTACGCAGGTTCTTCTCCCCCCCCCTTCTTTTCCCCCAATACACTTTTATATCT